TGGGGCTCAAACCATGGTTGGCCATGTGGGAGTGTGGGAGTCCAGTGCCCTTAACCGCCATTCCACCTGCTGGCCCCAAATTTCAGTCTTTTTAAAGCTGCTTTGTGGAATATGAATCTAAACCTTAGAGTTTTAAGACCTTCATTATGGAAAATTTTTGTTAGTTGTGTTTTGTCAGAGGTCACATGCATGCTAGAAAATCAAATAATACTTACTATTTTTGTTTTTAGAGAGAGATTTTTGCTATAGGACGCATGTACTTGCCAGAGAGAGAGAGAGACAGAGAGAAATCATGCCCCAGGGAGGATGGCCATACCACAGTCCCTTCTCTTCCAGACTTCTCTAGGGATTTTAGGCACACATGCACACATGTCCAGCATGAGTTTAAGTCACCAAGTCCAGGATTCAAACTGCGGTTGACTACATGGGAGTTCAGCAATGTAACCATTACGCCATCTCCTGGTCCAAATAATACTTACTTTTAAGACTTCCTTCTTCCATTCACCAGGTTGTACAACAGATGGAACAAAAAAAATTACAACAAGGAATTCCTCCATCAGGGCCAACTGGAGACTTGAAGTTCCAACCACGTATGTACTTTTGTTTATTTACTTATTTACTATTTGGATTTTTGCTGTAAGGTGAGTGTGCTTTCTGGAGAGAAACAGAGAGCCAGAGAGAGGGAAAATGAGAACTCATTCCCCGCGGGAGTTGGCTATGCCATAGTCTCTTCTGCATTCTCCTTTTGGGATTTTGGGCATGCACACACATGCACCCTACATGATTTTCAAACCACTGGGTCTGGGACTTGAACTGCAGTTTACCATGTGGGAGTCTAGTGTTTTACTACCACTCTACCTGTTTATACCATTTATTTGCCTTTTTCAGGGAAATAAATCACTGTAAATTGAAATCCACATTTATTACAAATATAATATAGTTTCAGATCATTAAGATTTGTTATTTTCTATATATTTACGTAGAAATAGAGCAATTTGATGCTGCAATCCTCCAGCCTCCATAGGTTTTTGCCATAAGGTGGGCACCACCATGCGTAATGGCTATGTCACTAGACTGTGGTTTGAGTCCCGGACCCGGTGCCTTAAACTCACACCAGGCGCTGTGCATACGTGCCCAAGATCCCGAGAGGAGAATGGAGGAGAAGGGATTGTGGCATGGCCATCCCCCCACTGGGGGGTGATTTCTTGCTTTCTATCTCTGTTTCTCTCTGTCTTTTTAGTGAGTGCATGCACGCTATAGCAAAAACCTTTCCAAAAAAATGAAAAGAAAAATAGAGCAATTAACAGTATAGAAGAGTAAAAAGGCCTCCAATATCTTTATGAATCAGAATATTTCAAATGCTCTATATTTTGATAACCATATTTATGGTGAAATGATTTATTTCAGTATTACTCATCATTCTTTCAAATCAATTACATTGATCTTACCAGAGAACATTTTTTAGATTGTAATCTATAATTAGCTAAGCATATTTTTAAAAAGGTCTTAATTTATGTGTATTTAAAAGAGAATAAAGGAAGATAGCTTTAAAATGAGAGAACTTTTTTTTTTTTTGAACAGACATTTAACGTTCAACGTCCACCAGAACTTGGAAGAAAAACCATTAACTCAACATCTATCTCATCTTTTAAACTTCTTTCCCTTTTTCTCTGCTCAATAAATATTTTAAAGCATATTTGGAATAAAGGAAGATACCTTTAAAATGAGAGCACATTTTTTTTTTTTCTGGACACAGATATTAAAGGAATGATGTCAGCTAGAACCAGGACGAAACAAGCTCGCTATCAGCTCCCATATTCACACAACCCTTCGTTTTACTTTTGATTTAATTAAGTGGCCTTATGCCATAAGTTAATGAAACTGTCGATAACTATTTAAGTGAGAAAACTCTGCCTATTGTTTTTAAAATAAAGTGCTGTCACTTATCCATAAAGCTAGATACTCCTTTATGGGTGCCTATCATCCCCTCTCTCAAAAAAATGTCTTTTTGATATTAATAATTCTTCTGAGAAGGCCATGGTACTTCCCTGTACTTCCTGATAACTTTCTCCTCTTTTTAGCAGCCTTCACTTCTAGGAATTCTTCAGCTGAATAGCTTTTGCTACCAAGCCAGGTCATTTTTCATTCATATGATTGCTCTGTCTCACTTGAGATTAGGTTCTGATACATATAACAGAGGAGCCAAAGAAACAGTGGTTTAAAGTTAATAGGAAACTCTCCCTCTTATGTCCAAGAAATCGAGAAGTCAGTGGTATCCAGGTTCCAGTCTTTCTGCTCCCTAGCCTTGGTACGTGATTTTTATCCTCGAGTTACCTCACTGTCACTGGCCAAGGCTGCTGGAGCAGTGGGAAGGGGCAAGGAAAAAGATTTGCCCCCGTTGAATCGGCTTCCTTGAGGCAATTTTCCAGAAGAGTCAGCAGCACTGGAACTTATATCTGATGGACCAGAGCTGAGTCACATGACCACCTAGCTGCTGGGATGCTGAGAAATCCAGGTTGCAACGTGACAAGCTGAAAGTTAGGGTTTTGTTACTGAAGAAGAAGGGAAGAGGGAATGTTTGATAGAGACTTTCAGTTTTAACTCCAGTCAGCTTTGTTAGCTGCCGAAATCTCTAGAGGCAATGTTCTTCTGGGACATAAAGCACTCAACTCCACCCATCCCAAAGAGAAATCACCAAAACTCCAACCCCATTGCATTTGCTCCATTGCATTCACTCAAAGACCCTGGTATCTGATGTAATCGTCTTCCTCGGACCAGGATATGGGTCCTTCTGTCCTGGCCACCTACTAACAGGCAAGCTTTCTGCCCTAAGAGCACCTCAGGCATAAATGTGTAAGTGCAGAAAAACTACAATAAAATTGACCTTTTAGGAAAGGAGAAAATTAGAAACAGCATTCACTAATCCTTAACAATTAAAAAGGACTGTTTGGCGAAGACAGTACTGATGAATATGTTCCTTGGTTTGCCCATGAAGCAACCCCTAATCATCCTCAGAGGGCCTTGGCGGCACCCTCTAGGAAGCTTTTCTCGTCCATTCATTTTCAAGAACACATCTGGATGGGTGTTAGAAAGTATGCCCTTCTCAGAGGCTGGACCGATTTAGCAGCTAGCTTACTGTTCATTATTGTGACCGGGGGGCTCACGGATTGTTTTAAATAGTTAACATACAGGTCTTGCTGGCCACATTTGGGTTTTTATTTGTTACTTTGTTTTGCCTTTTTGGCCAGTGGTTTCCTAAAAAATTTCTGGCCTGTTTTCTTCAGTTATTTATGTGAGTAACCACAGTCAAAGACAGTTTCAACGCAGTTTAAAGACAATTTGTAACAAAAAGCTCATCATTTACTCACTGGTCTCTGTGCTCTCCCTTCCCCTTGGGTCCCTAAATGAACACCATGGCGTTGAGACCTTTTGAACTATAAGCATAGATGGGATGGCCTGTCTTAATAAGAACTTTTCCCCTGAGAGATTATTTGGCAGAAGATTCTCATGAGACGGTTCTTGGAAAAGGTTGAGAAGGCATCAGCAACTTCCTCGGCACCTTTACTTATCATCGTTTCGGTCTGGAGTACTGTTGTAGTTGACTTTTTCAATTCTTCAGGACTCCAGATTTGGGACTTTGTTGATTTAAATTGTGGACAGAGAACAATCTCCTCTGCAAAGCTGTGTTCCCTTGTATCTCTGCAGGTGTGTTCTCTTGTATCTCTGCAGGTGCGTTCACCTCAGCCCAGTCACAAAGTCCTCGTAGGACTTTGCTGAAAGAGGCGAGAAGCAGTCGACACACATTAGCTTTCCAAAGTTCCTCCACCATGTCTCTGATCTTAACCTCAGGTGGCAGGAGGTCTCACTGCCCAAAGCCTTACCTCCTTGACCAAGCCAACGCCATGTTCAAGGTCCTTTTTTTAGCTGTACCTGACTTCTAGCTACTAGATTCTCTTTAGGTCAGCATTCTTGGTTATAGGTAATAGAGTCTTCTGTAGCTGTTCCACAGACAGGGTTTGATGAAGGAGTATAGACAGCTCACAGAATCTTCAGGAGGGCCAGAGAAGCAGAAGACATGGGCTGGCCCTCCAGGCACTAAGTCGCAAGAGTGGGCTGCCGAAGGAGCTGCTTTGGGGACAATCAAGAAGCTGACTGCTGAGACCAGGAAGCTGCCTGCCGGAGTAGGAAGCCACCTGTGAACGGATGCCAGCTCCAGAACCACACCACCTCTGCCGGGCTTTGTGCTGGTACAAACGGATACCTCAAGGCCCGCCTCCTCCCCACGTAACTCGGCTCTGAGTGAGTCTCAGGTGAGTGCATCCGATTGACTGGACCACTCCGACCTGGAACGCTAACAGCAAGGGAGGTTGGGGAATACAATGTTTAACTTTCCTACCTCTGTGTTACAGGAACGCATGGTCGGTGCTGCTAGCATCTCATACTGTTATGTTACATTTTTTCTTAATAATTCTTAATGAATAATTTTTAAACTCTTAATCTTCATTTAATGACAGTTTGAATAATTGTTGCAAACTCCTCCAAACATACTTTGGATTTTTTTCCTTAAATCATAGATCCCAAAATTAAGTGTAATGATTTAGTAAAGTTCTCCTTACAAACAAGCTAAAGAACTACAAAAACCACTCAACCTAATAGTAGTCCTGTAGTTCTTTAGGGATGGAGTAGATTCCTATCCCAGTTGTTTAAGTTGTAGGCGATGTAGAAAAATGGTTTGAAATATTCTTTTGTTGTTGACTTATATCTGTGACTAGGAACTGGTAATGGTCAAACATGATCTTGGTAAACATTTTTGTTTGATTGTTTTTGCTATAGGGCACATGTGCTTGCCTCTGGGAAAGAGAAAAAAAGAATAACCCTGAGAAATCACCCACCCCGACCCCCGGGGAGATAGCCATGCCACAGTCCCTTCTCCTGCATTCTCCTGTTGAGATTTTGGGCACGCATGCACACGTGCCAGGCGTGATTTTCAAGCTACCGAACCGGGACTCCAACCTCAGAGTCAGCCAATATGGGATCCAGCGCCTTAACGTCCATGCCACCTTTTGGCCCTCTTGATGAAGTTTTTAAGGTAGTGAACTGGGGTTAAATCAGAAAGGAGCTGAAGAGGAATGTAGAGCAATTTCTTGAAATGCTTTTTTGGTTGTGAAGAAATAATGGATGGGTATAAATGTAGACATATTTTACAGTTTCCAGGAAGTTGATGCATTCTATATTACTCAAAAAAGCATTGTTAAGCCTAAAATTATTTATGGACTTAAGGAATTCCAGTCCTTGTGGGTACTAGACTTTTTTTTTTTTTTTCAAGAGAGATTTTTGCTATAGGGCATATGCATTCACCAGAGAGATAGAGAGCAACAGAGAGAGAAAATGAGAAATCACACCCCCTGTCGGGGGGATGACCACACCACAATCCTTTCTCCTCCATTCTCCTCCCAGGATTTTGGACATGCACACATCTGCCCAGCATGAGTTTCAAGCCTCCGGTTCCGAGACTAGAACTGCAGTCAACCATGTGGGAGTCCAGCATCTTAACCACTACACCACCTGGCCCCAGTACTAGGTATTTTTGAGTATTACTTTTGAGAAAGTTGCAAATAGTATTTTTTTTGGAACAATAAACACCTTTATTACGGAGTGGAGACAGGAAGGTTTATTTGCCTTTCTGGGCTTTAATTTCCCTCTGGTAGAACTCCAGCTCCTTGCCCTCTAGCACACAGCCATCTGCACGGCCACACTGGCCTGGTCTGGATGCGATGCAGGCAACCAGCTTGCCCTGCTGGAACTGCTCCTCCAGGAGACCGCTGATTTTGGCATTCTTTTTCCTTTCATTGTATTTCTTCTGAATTTCCTTTTATCACTTTTTGTTTAAAATCTCTTCCCCCTCAGGAGTCAGCTTGGCCCCCTTCTTGAAGCCCAGGGGCAGTGCATAGTGCGACTTGTACCGCTGTCGGTAGGGTGTGCTGTCAGTGAGCATGAAGCAGTTCTTCACCAGGGTATTGGTGCAGACTAGCTCATTACTGGATGCGTTGTAGACAACATTGATGATCCTTGTTTTGCGTGTACAACACTCTGAGCCCCAAGAAAAGTTCCCCACGTCCAGCCTCAGGGCACGGTATTTCTGTTACCTCCTGCACACGGACTGTGTGTATGCAGCAAGGCCCATCTTAGTGTTGGCAGCGGGGCGTCCCAGCGCATACTTCCGCTTCTTATGATAGGGCTTTCTCTTGCCTCCGGTCTTGCGGTGCTTGTGCCAGTTGACCGAGAGATACCCCTTGCTCGGCACCAGCTGCTGGTTCTGTTAAAAAGTATTGGTCCTGGGGCCAGCAGGTAGTATGGTGGTCACAGTGGTAGACATTCCTCATGGAATGTCCCCTTAAGGGGACTGGACTTCAGCATGGCTGACCACATTTTGAGTCCTGGACCTAGCAGCTTGCTTTTTTCACTTTCCCTCTCTGTCACTCTGTCCCTCTCTGGTCAAATTAAAATAAATAAATAAATAAAGTCAAACTAAAAAAAGAGTAATGCAAAACATTATAATTCTCCATGTTCTAAAAAAAAAGTATTGGTCCTATATTAAATTTCTACCTTCTTCATCTTTCTTGATATAAAATAGTCTTTAGTTTAACTGACTTAATGTATTAGTAATTTGAAATTTGTTTCACATAAATTTTTACGAAGCATATACATTTTTAGTATACTTAGGTACATATACTTAAAATTGGAATAAAAGATAGTTCTCTAGAATATTTAAAACTTACAACTTAGAATTGCAACTTAGAATTAGTGGAACAAAATTCTCTGAGACATGGTTATTAATTGTTGAAACAAAGATTCATGGATAGCAGCATTATCTATATGCTAATTGAACAGATTTGTATTCATGTAAGCCTAAATGCAAATCTGCTTTGTGATTAGAGTGATTTTTGTACTTTCTTTTTTTTTTAAAGAGAGAGATTTTTGGTATAGCGCACGTGCACTTACCATAGAGACAGAAAGTGAGAACTCACCCCCTGGAGGGGTGGCCACACCACAATCCCCTCTCCTCCAATCTCCTCTCAGGATTTTGGGCGCATACACATACATGCACCCAATGTGAGTTTCAATCCTCTGGGTCTAGGACTCAAACCGTGGTCAGCCATGTGGGAGTCCAGCAATGTAACCACTATGCCGTCTGCTGGTCCCAATAAAGTGATTTTTAAGATAGCCTACAGGGGGGTAAGAAATCTATTTTTCTTAGGTAAACTTTTGACGGGTTCGGTTTTGGTTAGTGTATAAATGTTAATCTTTGTTTTGTAGTTGTAAGTACAATCAAGAAGAAATTGAAAAAGAGCCAGAGTTTTGATGATGTGCATCATCGTTTTCATGCAATATTTTTATCTCCTGGAGAATCTACTGGAGAAGCCCGCCTTCACCCTTAACCTTTGGTGCCTCAACTAAACACTTTTCAAATTCCTTTGTTTTTGTTGAAGTTGAAGGTGTACATTAAGCAAAATGCAAAGTTTCCTTTATCATTCCTTGTGGGTTCTATAATGTGAAGACTGTAATGACAACCTACTTTGGAGATGAGATTCAAAGTAAATCAGATCTTCTTGCTTTTTGAAAAATGTAACATCAGTAGCTGGATTCCAATTTTTCCCTATGCAGTTTTTAATTTTCTTTTTGATTGGATAGCTAACAATGAATTAGTAGCCATTTCTTAGTGAATCCAAGAACTGAGCCAAAGTAAGCTGCAAACGGTGAAGACACTCAATTGAAAAATCTCAATGTGTGATCTCTGGTACTGCTAACCTGTTCAGTGAGACAGATGCAAAGCTAAGCAAAAATCAATGGACTTTTTTTTACTGAATTTCAAGATTTAGATGTTTTCAAACTTCATGTCCTGTTTACACATGTCTCCAGTATTTGCTACGGAGCTTTGTTTTTGTTTGAGTTGACATCCTTCAGGCTCTCGAGGATGATGACTGCCCTGTGCCAGCTTGGTTATCAGCCAGCCCTTGACAATGCACTTTTAACCTCAACACTCACCCTTCTGGTTGTCCTGCAAGGTCTGTATGTCTGTGTAAACAAGTTTGAGTTTGTTTCTAATTATAATCTATTGCAAGCAATAGATTTGACTTTGGCCATGCAAAATTCCTTACCTCCTTGTATTTTATCTGTAGTAATAAATACATTTTCTAAGCCTTTCCAGGTTTATGAATATATATATATATTAAAATTAAAGCAGTTGGACAAGCCGATGGTGTGGTGTTTAAGGCACCTGAATCCCACATGGCCAACTGTGTGGTTCAAGTCTCAGACACAAGACACATTGGGCGGGTGTGCATGCATGCCCAAAATCCCCAAAGAAGGGAGAGATGGAGAAGGGATTCTGGTGTGACCATTCCCACTTCTCACTTTCTCTCTCTCTCTCTCTCGCTCTGTCCCCTCTCCCCTGAGTACATGTCCCCTATGGCAAATTAAAAAATTTTTTTGAAGTGTTATAATATTTATTTTACAATCCTTATTGTAAAAATCTGTAACTCTGTGGAATTTTCAAATGAGTAATGATTTATTTTCTATGAGAGTTTAAAATTTATGACTTGTCCAAGTATTTTTAAAGTGAGAGAGAGGGGCCGGTGCGTGGCATGGCTGTTAGGGTGCTGGACTCCCTCATGTCAGACCACAGTTTGAGTCCCAGACCTGGTGGCTTGCTTTTTTGCTTTCCCTCTTTCTTTCTCTTTGTCTGTCTCTGGTCAGTTTTTTAAAAAAATATAATGGTGACTAAAATTATTTTTTTTTAAAGTGAGAGAGAGAAAATTCACCTAGTTCTCTTTGCCATCTCCCATGAATTGTGGTATTTAACATGTTATTTTTGTTCAATTTTGACTCATTGGTACTTTAAATGTTCGTTTTTAGTGATATCAGAGTATGTGTCATTTAATTAAATCACTACCCTTGGTTTAGAGTCCCTGCATAGGGATCTGAAATTATGTCACTTTCCCTGGTTTGCTGTCTACCAGGACCCTTCAATTGATAGTGACTTGAGTTGCTTTATTTTTGAATTTTGCCCTATTTTTTTTCTTGGCCTTACTACATTCTAAATAAGATTTTAGCCGTTACACTAACTGCTGGTCCCTATCTGGACTGTTTTTAAAACAACACATAAATAATTAGATTTTAATTTGATAGAGACACAGAAAGACACAAAGACTTCATATAATTTTGGATATATTTGAATGTTTTATGAATACATGTTATAAAAATTTCCCAGTGCAATTACTTGTTAGAAAATATTCTAATCCTCATTTGTATAGGTTCGTTTTTAATTACATTAAATGTAAAGTTATAAAAGTGTGTCATATTTGTTCTAATTTTCTGAGGTAAAAGGCAAATGTGACATTGAAAGAATGAATGGTTTGCAAAATGCTAGTGTTCTAGAGTCATAGAGCCTGACTGCCTCAGAGGCCATCTACCAGAGGAGGAACCCCTTCCTCTTAGATAAGTTACCCAGCTTCCAATGTCCCAGTGCCAGTGCTGGTGAGAAAATCTCAGTGGTTTCCAGACTTGTTTGCGTATTGGAATCATCCAAAAGATTCAACAAATAATGATGCCTGAGTCTCACCTGCAGAGATTGTGATTTAATTCTTTTGGCGTGCGGTCTGGGCTTTGGGATTTCTAAGAGACTCCAAGTGAGTGTGATGCGCAGCCAGCACTGGGGACTGTTGGTAAGTCATATGGAAAAGCACAACAACCCCATTTAACATCAGAGAATCCGTCAGAAAACCTCGCTAATGTTGTAAAGGTTCTATAAGCATTTAGATGTCATTTAAGAAGATTTACAGCTCCATGTATATACACACAAACCAGTGTTGGGGAATAGATAGGAAATGTTGCCATTTATGTTCAAGAACCACGTAATAAAGAGGTATCATGCTGGCAGTCTGTAATGATGGTATTGTGGAAAGTACAGACTGAGTATTGGAACTCTGTCACTCTGAGGTTTTTCTTGTAGAGTCTATAGAAAAAAGTCTAGAGGGGCAGCAAGTAGCATGATGGTTAAGATGCTAGGTTCCCACACGGTCGACCACGGTTTGAGTCTCAGAGCTGGTAGCTTGAGAATCATGCTGGGCATATAGGTGTGCCCAAAATCCCAGGAGGAGAATGGAGGAAAAGGGATTGTGGTGTGGTCATCCCCAGTGTGTGTGTGTGTGTGGGGGGGGTGGGCAGGGTGATTTCTCACTTTCCTTCTCTCTGTATCTCTGGAGAGCACATGCACCCTATAGCAAAAATCTTTCTAAAAAAAGAAAAAGGTTTAGAAACTTTAGATCTTGTTAATATTTGTAACTTTCCCCAAATACTATTAAATATAACTACAATAAAATTACTAAAATCAGGATATTAGCATGGTATCGTTCTATGAACTAATCTGTCAATTTCATCAGTTATCCTACTTCTTTGGGGTTAAGATTCAATCTGTGATCATAGGTTGCATTTAGTTACATAGTACCTGTTAGTTTGAAAAAACCAAAAACCTATACAAAAAATGGCAGCAATAGCGCCATCAATTCTGCCCTGCGCTTGCTCTCTTTCTGTACTTTTTTTTTAACAAGAATTTCAGAATTAAGTTGCAGACCTAGTCATGTTAATGTTTCACTTGAATTCTTTTTTCCCTTTTCCAGAAGGCATGTATACCTACCAGAGAAAGGGAGAGGGAGAAGGCACCCCCCCCATAGGGTGTGGTCATGCCACAATCCCTTTATAGGTGGGATAATGTGAAATGACCCATAACTTTGCTAGAAAAAAAATTTTTTTAATTGATCAAAATCCATCTAACTTATTTTTGCCTTCACAAAATCACAGAATGTGTCTATCCACATAAGTATTAGCTTTTAAGAAATTTAAAGACTTGGACCTGGTCTTAAACCCCTCCCCTCTGTCTCCTCCTAGCAAAACTGTCTTAGTTCCCTTTTTTCATTTGTGGTGATTAGGATTTGGTTCTGCTTGAAAGAAAGCCTCACATGAGTGGCTTAATGAGTATTGCTTATGTGCCATGGGTCCAGAGGTGTCATTCTGGTGGGCCTGATAGGTAAGTTTCACAAGTCACCAATGACTCAGCACCCCTCTATTTCGCTCATTGCCCTCCACGTGTGGTTTCCACACAACGGTCCAAAGTGGCTGCTCAAGCTCTGGCTGTTTCATATGCATTCCTGTCAGCAGAAGGTGGAAAGGGTAAAGAAGAGCTGGTTGGGGCCAGCAGGTGACATAGTGGTTAAGGCACTGGACTCCCCCATGGCTGACCATGGTTCAAATCCCAGATCCAGTGGCTTCAAAATTATGCTAGGCACATGTGCATGTGTGCCCAAGATCCCGAGAGGAGAATGGAGGAGAAGGGACTATGGCGTGGCCATCCCCCTGGGGGTGATTTCTCGCTTTCTCTCTCTCTGTCCCTCCAGTGAGAGCACAAGCCCTATGGCAAAAATCTCTCTCTAAAAAAAAGACTACTTTCCTTTGAGGATTTGCTCCACATTCCACTCGATTCTGTAATCCTTACCATAGCCCTGCAAGTAAGATTTTACTATTTCAGTTTTAGAGCTGTGGAAACGGAGGCTGAGGATGTAAACTAACTGGCCTTTTGTCCCAGCAGTTGATGCAGCTGGCATTAAGGCCAGGTTGCATGTGCTTTTCTGTAGTTACACCTTTTTTCTTTTTTTTTTAGAATTAAGTATTTAATTTTATTTATTTGTTCATTTATTTTAATTTGACCAGAGAGAGACACGGGGTGGGGGTGGGGGTTGGGGAGGGAGTGAGAAAGCAAGCCACCAGCTCTAGGATTCAAACTGTGGTGGGCTATGTGAGAGTGTCCAGTGACTTAACCACCTGCCACCTGCCGGTCCCCATTACACCTGTTTTACTGAAGTGAGGGGACAGTGTAGGATCAATGAGACAAATGACTGGAATGCAAGCTTCTGGGGAAAGATGTGTGCATTGACAACACACATGTATTTATAATCCAAGTTACGTTGATTTTAAAGCCGGTCTGGGGGAACAGCAGATGGCGTAATAGTTACATGGCTGAACCTGCACATAGTTGACTGTGGTTCGAGTCCCAGACCTGGCAGATTAAAACTCACACCGGGCATGTGTGCGTGTGTGCCTAAAATCCCAAGAGGAGAATGAGGGAGAAGGGATTGCGGCATGGCCAACCCCTCTGGGGGTGGTTTCTCACTTTTTGTCTCTCTGTCTCTCTATAACAAAAATCTCTAAATAAATAAATAAATAAAACTGGTCTGGGGGTGACAAACCGGTCACTGAATCAAATTTTAGGATTTTTTTTCCTCTAAATTTTGCCAGAGGACATGTGTCTAGCCAGAGAGAGAAAAAGGGAGAGTGAAAAAGCACCCCCGTTGGAGAATGGCCAGGGAACTCCTCACTTCTCCCCTCCCTCTGGATTTTGGCATGCACAAATGCCTAGTGTGCTTCTAAGCTGCCGGGTCTGGGACTCGGCCATGTGGAACGCAGCCACCTTATCCAGCAGGCCATGGAGTCACCTCAGGCACTGGAGTTTAAGGGCAACCTTCTGGCAGAGGCTAGATGAAGTGCCCTGGAGATTTAAACTGGCCTTCATTTTCACGGTTTTTTTTTTTTTTTGGAGAGGTTTTTGCTATAGGGTGCCTGCCCTCACCAAAAAGATAGAGAGAGACAGAGAGACAGAAAGCGAGAAATCACCCCCTGGGGGGATGGCCACACCGCAATCCCTTCTCCTCCAATCTCTTCTCGGGATCTTGGGCACGCACGCACACGCACCTGGCTTGAGTTTAAGCTACCGGGTCCAGGCCTCGAGCCCTGGTCAACTACATGGGAGTCCAGCGACATAGCCATCACTCCAACTGCTGGTCCCTAGTTTCAGTTTTTATTTTATTTAATTAATTAGATATTTTGCTATAGGATGCATGCGCTTGCCAGAGAGAGAGAGAAAGAGTGAGAGAGTGAGAGAGACCACCCCAGAGGGGATGGCCACACTGGCAATCCTTTCTTCATTCTCCCCTGGGGATCTTGGGTACACACATGGATGTACCAGGCACACATGCACCGCCCGTAGGTTTAAGCATCCAGGTTAACTACAGGAGTCCAAGCGAGGTAACCACTACGCCATCTGCTGGTCCCTTAGTGTAACTTTATCATGCCAGTGGTAAAACTGGAGTTTTGCAAGTGCCTTGCACATTTAAATTGACCTTGATTTAATGTCAGATTTTGATTTATAATGTAATTTTATAATGTCAGTGGTAAAACTGGATTCTTGCATTTGATCACAATCACCCCCTCCTTAAAGCAGCCTCTGGGGTGCTGGCAGGTGGAGTGGTGGTTAAGGGCACTGGTGTCCCACACGGCTCACCCTGGTTTGAGTCCCAGACCTGGCGGCTCGCTTTCTCACTCTGTCCCTCTCAATTAAAAATAAAGTTAAATAAAATAATTCTTTAGAAAAATAATAAAAAGAAAAGGGGCCTTTGGGCGAAGTTTCTCCCGTCATTGTACGAAAGAAGTCCCAGAGACTGATCAGAGCCCGGTTAGGACTTCCCCCGCCTTCCCCACAAAGTCCCTCCCAGTCGGCCCCGGGCAGACGGCAGAGCCTTCCCTCAGCCCACGCTGTTTTGAGGGTTGCCTGTTCTATCTGAAGAAAAAGAAACTAACTTCCAGTGCTGCAGCTGAGCTAGCCAGAGACATGGCGGGGACTCCCGCCGCCCGGCCAC